GGGCCCCGCCAACTAGTGCTCACTGCTCCCAGATATTGTTTGTGTCACACAACACTGTTTTCAAAAATAGAGATCGCCTACGCATCACTTGAATGTCACGGATGTAGTGTTGTACGTTCAAGCTGAACATTTGCCCTTTTATACATTTATCACTTGTTAAATACATCTCTAATCTCTTGTAGTGAGGACAGGTGATTTCTTTTACGATGTAAGTTAACCATGGCCTCTACACATACCAAACAAATCCACCATGCTATGCTTGGTACGGAAATCCTGGTCTAAAAACGCCGCTAAATATACCATATCTCAATACTTCGGTTCAAAAAACGTTGTCGTGGTGAATTTAACACATCCCAAACGCGTTGCAATCCATCCTAGCGGTCGAAAACGCGATCTAGACGCGTTTATTCTCTGCGACCTTGACGCTTAGCATGTGGCCAGACTGAGAATATGGCAGCAATGGCGGAGGTTAGAGAGAACACACACACCGTGACACCCGTGAACAACCCATCGGGCGATATGTCTGTACTAAACTAAGACATGGATTGTGTGAAGTATAAACACTGAGATTTTATTGTAAATGTTATGGGGAGGAGACACAGTGGATATATTTTAATACCTGCGCCTGGTTAAGACCAGGGAATGTTTATTTAGGGCTGCATGTACAGTTTTAGAGGAAATCTGAGAAACCCCGTTTTGTGCCCTCCGCCACGGATATAGGCGATGGCCGCGTGCCCCCGATCAAGGCCATCCATCTGACCAATCACGGAGCAGGAATGGGCGATGCGATATCTTGACGCAAAATTAGGTCTGTGGCTACCAAGGACAGTATCACTCAACCAAAGCGCCTTTACCCTGGCTAAGGCCAAGGATAGATGGCTCAACATTGAGCCCTCCGCCCCGACCTTGTCCCTGAATGTGGTTCGGAGGAAGCGCACGTCTCAAGCACGTAGCGAGCTGGGGAAAGCGAGGCTGACCTTGTTCGGGACAAGGCTCCAGGGCTGCTGCTCTTGTCCCGATATGTAGGTCAGAGACATCGGAGCGCCCTTCTGCGTAATTATCGGTGCAAGATAAAATGGATTAGGGACGGGAGTGGGCCTCAAACTGGGCTATGCCGCAACGGCAAGGCCATGGTCATTACCTGAACCACACAGCCAACGCCTTTTGATTATCTTTTAATTTTCTCGCAAAAACCTTGTCCATTTAGCACAACACAGAATATGCCATTACGTTTCCAAAGTAGCAAACAAAATAAACAGAAATTATCTCCATCATTACTAATGATATAATACAATAAACTGATAACCTGTTTTCCCGTCTGAAAAGCGCCGAGCTGGTTTTCCCTTTTCAGTGTAGAGATGTTTCACTGAAGTTGCAGGCCTGGCTTCCTACAATTCAGGACTGTATTTTGCCACTGGCCATTTACATTTATGGGGGACAAAAACAAGACTTGTAAACACCAATCCTGTGCTTTCCCTTGGTACAGTTGGCCTTGGATTTTCGTGTAATTTTTATTAATCTTTTTCGGGGAATCGCCCAGAGGTAAACCGGCTGTACCAGACAATATGAAAGAGGCCGCTGAAAGGGGCCCTCATGTCGCCCGACAATCTCCCCCGATTTGTTTGATCATTATCACATGACACACTTAAATAATAACCGACATCACTTTGCCGTGCAGTCCACACAAGCAGATGTTTCTCACAACCACGCTGTCTTTGATACCCGTCAGAAATTTATGGCTGTGACGTACAATTTCCGGTATTGTTAGACCGAGGAAATATAAAATGATACTTCCAGTTTCAGTGGCTTCGTTTTTTCAGTGCGGGTTAGTGGGGCAGGGTGTTTGGCTTGTTGGTTCAGGTGTTTGGTTTCATGCAGCACGAAGTTGCTGACCTAAATCAGTCAACAAAAATAGGCCTCAGTATTTATGACATGACCTCACCAACTCAATCCCACCCTAAATATAGGTCAACTAATTCTCACAGGACAACACTTTCCATATTGTGTGTTTTAATGTATATAATTTTTTCTTCGTCGGAGATGTCTGAAAAACCAAATAGCGTAAAACAGAGCCAGCAAGGACGGTCTAACTCCAACCACACTAGCACTGTTAGTGTTTGGGAGCGAAAATCTCCAAACAGATTCTTCAAGACACTACTGACGTTCGCTAGCCCGTAGCCAGTACGGGTGCCAACCAAAGTGCCAACTGGTGACCAGCTGGCCAACTACAGTGTCTTGCCCCCGAAGAAATCTGCTGGGAGATTAGGGAGAAATGCCCTGGTCCGAAATGTTGAGGGGAGGTATTAGGGATGGTTGATTGACGTGTGACGTGTTAGAAAACAAAATGCCCCCCTCCCACCACCCCTAAACCTAACCCCCTCAAACTATTCGTCATTTTCAATTCAACATCAAGAAAAATTAATCAAAACTGACGGATCGCTTATACGAAATATGCAACCATTAAAAAAAGAAAGTTTGACGGCATTTCCGTAGGCCTGGCCTTGCACGCGCGGAGTAGAAGGTGAACGAGGTCTCTGACGCGCTTGCCATATAAGGAGCGAGGGGCGGGGCTACCCTTCACAGGGACACCGTCCTAACGTCAACGTACCTACTGCCGTACTCTCGTACGTTACGAAAGGCACACGGTATTGCACAAGTCGCCGCTAGTCATTTGGCAACGTGTGTCCAGGATACACGGAGGCGCACAGACACAGCAGTAAACTCACCAACTTACCAACATGGACGGACTTCTCTACGGCGATAGAGGTTAGCTAGTGTGGAACTTTCCGTGTTCTTTGTGCCCCCCTCTTGCTTTTTGACCCGGAAAAAAGGGGGGAAGAGGAACAAGGAAAAACAACTTGGGTTGGCTCACTGTGGTTTGACTGGTCCGGCGTGTTTTGATGTAGGTAGGGTCGAGGCTGTTCGTTTACAATTCCGGCTACCACGGGCGGATTTGTACCAAAAATAGTACCGTTTCAATCGATTCTCAGCTGTTATGTTTGAGTAACCGTAACGGGACGGTAGACTAACCATTCAAAACTGTTTTCTCTCTCTCTTTCACCACAGAGATCAACGGAATGATGATTTTGTGCAAGGTTTGCGGCGACAAGGCGTCAGGCTTCCATTATGGAGTACACGCCTGCGAGGGTTGTAAGGTAAGACAAAAACCCGCCTCAACATTTCCTTTGTAGCCTTCAGATTTAGATAAAGAGTTTAATAGGTAACAGTTGCGCGGACTGTTTTTCCTGATCGATGTTGTGTGACAGTGTTATCGACTGTACCGTAGACTGAGAAATAGTGCGCGGAAGGACAGTTCATTTGCGTCAGCGTCGCTTCCCCTGAGGATTTTGGCCGGGATCGGACATCTGTTACGTGATTGAATGATCCAAATACAATGTAATTGTGGTGACCTACTTACCCTTCGGGCTGACCTGTCGTACGGCGGGCTAGCGCGTGACAGCCGTGGAAAATCTGCAAACAAACGTCCGAACAAAACAGAAAATAACCTGTTGTTTATGAATATATCCAAAAATGCATCGAAAAATATATTTAAAGATATTTGAGTATGTTTTGAGTCTTGTTTGTCGTAGAAAAATCTGCAATCAAACGTCCGAACAAAACAGAAAATAACCTGTTGTTTAGGAATATATCCAAAAATGCATCGAAAAATATATTTAAAGATATTTGAGTATGTTTTGAGTCTTGTTTGCCGTAGAAAAATGGGCAAACAAACGTCCGGACAAAACAGAAATAACCTGTTGTTTATATCATCCAGTGAAAAAACGCATCGAAAAATATATTAGATGACATTTGAGTATGTTTTTTTTTTCTGAGATTTTGCACGAGTCTAGTCTTATTTCTAGAACTGGGTAGATTACTAAGTACTAGTACTAATTTCTTTATCACACACAAATTCTCGCACGAAATGTATGATAATCTTAACGTCTTTTTCAGGGCTTTTTCCGGAGGAGCATTCAACAGAAGATCCAATACAAACAGTGCACGAAGAACGAGAAGTGCTCCATCATGAGAGTGAACCGGAACCGCTGTCAGCACTGCCGCCTCAAGAAATGCCTGGCCGTGGGGATGTCTCGCGACGGTAAGAAACCTCTTCACTCCACTCTCAGATCGACAGAAAAATCAGATGGAATTATAGGAGACAATTACCGGTGTAAAATTGAGTCTTTGGGTCGCATGCGCGTGTGTGGGCATGATTTTCCTTTCCTCGTTAGGTAAATGTAATCCCCATGTCCGGAAACTAGGACATACGAAAAGGTCGCCAAGGACGGGCCTGACAGGCATCTCTGCTATCTTGTACAATGTAAATTATTTTCCTGTGTAAATAGTATAATTTTAGCCTTCTGTCTTCCACTTAAACCTGATATCCAATAGAGAATTGGTAGCTACTTTAGTGTATTAAAGGTAAAAGAGCACTCGACAGTATTTTTTTAAATCAGATTACTGTAATTCCTGATTTGTTCACTGTACTGATAAGTTCACTGTTTTCACTGTTGCTTCTGTACAGTGAACTTATCATTACAGTTAACAAATAATTCCTGGCCTTTCTTTTTCCTACACCTGTCACCACCGTGAACACATAGTTCCGTGAACATGTCCATTTTTCTCAGACCGTGAAATTTTGCTACCGTGAACATAAAGTGAATTACAGTACCAGGAATTGTTTGACATGACAAACAAAGATAGCCCCTTATCGCTCGCAGTAAAAATGAAACAGTAAAATCAGGGGAACACTTCCGTGACACATTGGGGACGATGGCCTCTCGGACACTCCCAACCTTCCCCAGATCATGGTTGGGAGTAGGTTGGGAGCAGGTTGGGAGCAGGTTGGGAGAAAGGTCAGCTGTTATCAGCCATTAAATTGGTCTGCACTGTTGCCTACTGGTCAGCACCAGACAAACATCTAAAAATATTTAAAACAGTTGGGAATGGATAGCCTCTACCAGGCACCGCGATCACTGAAAATATAGTAGAAATTGGCCAAAGTAATGGGATAGTATTCCAGAGAAGATCCCAAGCCATAGAAGATCCAATTTGCGACCCACAGGATCTTCTCTGGTATACTATACCTTTATTTCGGCCAATTTCTACTATTTTTTCAGCGATCTGGGGTGCCTGGTAGAGGCTAAGTCCTCCCCTACTCGACCTAATTCCTCAGATGTAGGAATTGTTTGCTCAGTGGGATAAGGACATGCCCCAGTGATGGCTGGAGTCAACAGCCACTGACCTAGAATGGGAGGTTGTAACCTTTTACCCACTCTGCCCACAAAACAAGCAGGGGTGAGAGGGATGGGTTGCCTAGCAACCTCGGAACCTGTTGCTAGGCAACTGACAGATAACCTAGTTTCGCACCTGGTACACCAGGGGTAGCCTCTACCAGGCTTCGGGAGGTGGCTGGAAAGAGTAGAAATTGGCCAAATAGAGAGATAGCATGCCAGGGGAGTTTGTCTGCGGGAAGAAAACATTTTGCCGCACCCAAACAATGAGGGGATTACTTTTATACCGCTTGATCGTAGTGACCCCCGACAGGCTTCGGGTGCTTGTGTAACTGTATGAGTGAGCTGTAATAAAGTGTCATCATCTGACGTTCCTGTTGTTCATGTTTGTTGCAGCGGTGAGATTCGGGCGGGTGCCGAAGCGAGAGAAAGCCCGGCTCCTGGCCGAGCTGCAGAACCTGAAGAACCAGACGGAGAGCGAGCTGAAAGTCACGTCCTCGGAGGAAGCGGAGGTGGACGAGGTTGCCATGGTGATCGCCAAGGCCCACCACCAGACCTGCAGCTACACCAGGGAGAAGCTGGCGGCCATGAAGACCATCCAACCAATCGTGGCACAGAATCTTCCCAACCTGCACATGAGCATGGTAGGTAATCTCCAAACAGTTCCCTCTCAGTGGCAAAAAGACAGTATCGTATTGGCCAGGCAGTATCCATTAGTCAGAGAAGGGGGTAGCGACAAAAAAAAGAGAGAAAAAACGGCCATATATAAAAAGCTAACGATCATTCCCCCACAACCTCTGCTTGGAGAGTACATGGTAGGCACTGTTTCCATATATGGGTGCCCCAGATTCCAACTAAAGGTGGCCTAATTGCCAAATATGGCTGACCTAGCAGCCATATAAAGACATCCCTGTAGTGGCCACCTCAACTGCTTGGAAAATTGATTGCCTGCTTGACTGTAATAAAACGGTCAAGAATCGCAGCTGCCCTTAACATGTTGATAATATGTCCGTTCCATCAAAAGAGTCAATATTTGTAATCTCCAAGCAGCTGTACAGCTTTGTCTTGTTTTGGTACTTCTTGGCAGTGTTTTATGAATTTGTCTTCCAAATCTAAAGTATTACGTAGTAGCAGTGGTAGTATCCAGTCTATGATACCTGTAAAACTGCTGTGCGGGTCCCTTATGATGAACAGTAATCAGTGCATTATTTCTGCAAATGCTGAAAAAAATAAGCCTAAGTTTTATACCTGTTTACAGTAGGACATTACTTCGTCCAAAACCTCCAGCCACTCAGAACGATTGTTGACCTCTGTATCTGTATCTGTATAGCCGGTATAACCGCATTTCGGTATAACACACCAGCTTAGCAGGCACGCTGTGCGGTGACAGCTGGCTATATTACATTGATCAATTGAATCTAAATTCTAACTCTAGACATTGTTTATAGCTATCTAATGACCTCTGTTGCTGTTTTCTGTGCAGGTTTGCCCGCTGAACCCATTCCCGATCGGTGCTCTGGAGGGAGCCAACAAGATGTGGGAGGAGTTCTCAGAGAGGTTCACTCCAGCCATCAAGGAGGTGGTCGAGTTCGCCAAGCGTATTCCAGGATTCCAACAACTCAACCAGACCGACCAAATCACCCTACTGAAGGCTGGCTGCTTCGAGGTGTGTAACTCTCAATGAAGTCGTGTACTGCCAAAAAACAGTTACTCAAGCAACTGGATATGATTTTGAAAACGTCAGACGTTTCAGCTAGTATCCACTAGCTTTCGTCAGTGACTGAGAGACCAGAGGGGAAAGCAGGTTTATATACACAACCTGTTGATTGATATGCAAATAAAGTGAAGACAAATTTTTGGAAGTCGAAAAAGGAACAAAAGTCAAACAAAAGTCGTGTACTGTTTGTTTTGTTGCACCCAAGGATAATGTAGATAGATCAAGCTGCCAGGTGGCCCAAAATCTAATCATTTTGAGGTCCCATCAAGACCTACCCACATACCAAGTATCAAGATAATCCTTTTTGAGTAATTCTTCTTGAGTTATCATGTTTACACACATGTGCACGGATACACACACGCGCGCAACTGAAAACATAATTTTCGTGGCATAGCCAACAAACAATTACATTGGGTAGTTTGACTAATTGTATTCTTGCCCAGTACAGTATCTGCTATTGTTGAAATGTTCGAACGTTTCTACTGTCCTCACCTGTACTGGTATGTTTCCAGCAGGTCTTGTTAGTGCGCCTGTGTCCTATATTTGACTGTAAGAGACACACACATGAAAACATAACTTTCGTGGCATAGGTAAAAGACATTGGATAGACTGTATTCTTGCCCAGTAGAGTATCTGCTACTCCTTCTCATCCATACCTGTATGTTTCCGGCAGGTCTTGTTAGTGCGGCTGTGTCCGATGTTCGACTGTAAGAGCGACATGATGACGTTTGTGAACGGCGTGCGGATCCAGCGCAGCCAGCTCCTGCAGATGGGCTGCGGAGAACTCATCAACTCCATGTTCGACTTCGCCGAGAAACTGAACGTCCTGAACCTCATGGAGTGCGAGATCGCTCTCTTCACAGCGGTGGTTCTCGTGGCAGCAGGTAAGGACTTTGGTTTGATTTTTTCTGCACTTCAAAAAGGTAACAAATACATTAACAAGTGAATATCAATGAATTGTACCAGTGAAAGGGAGGCCAATTGCTTGTATGCAGGCCTCACTTCATAAATTAACTTATTCAACAAATTCAACTAAATGATACGGTAGCAAATCAATAAACAAAAGAATAATTTAGTGAAGACATAAATGAAACAATGTAAGGAAAACACAGTACAGTGAAAAAACTGCCATTACATGGATGATCTACATTACTTGGATAGTCACTTTTCCATCACAACTCCTACCACCCATCAAAGAACCAAGTCTGTTCTTAACTTCTGCAACCATTTTCATAGTGATCTCAATAAAACACAACCATTTTGAGCTTCTCATGCATCAAACAACTTTCCTGAAATCAAATTTACTGAGAAGTAAGTCTTCTTACAATGTCGGTGACTCCTGATCTCATGACTGTATTCTGGTGTTTCCTCAGATCGTCAGGGTGTGAAGGATGTGGAGGCGGTGGAGAGACTTCAGGAGAGGCTGATCCGCGCTCTCCGCGCCATGGTCGCCAAGAACCACCCGGAGGAGCTCGCGCTCTTCGCCAAACTGCTCATGAAGCTGCCCGACCTCCGCACCCTCAACACGCTCCACTCCGAGAAGCTCCTCGCCTTCAAGATGGACGCCCAGAACGACGCCCAGGGGAAGCAGACGTGTCCCATGAACCTCAGCAAGGCTGCGGCCGCGTCACCGCAGGTCCCGTCGCCCACGGCGCATGCCGAGCTCTCGCCGCTGCAGATCGCCCTCGGGCACCACCGCTGCCCGCAGAGGAAGTATGAGAGGGAGTACGGCACGGCGCCGCACGCCGTGAAGGACGGGCACGAGGTCCGCGTCCCCATGGAGGTCGTGAATGGCCAGCTGACGGTGGGGAGAAGTTACGAGCAGGGGCAGGGCTACATCAACACCATGGGGGGTCCCGTCCTCCTCCGGGGGAGCCCAGCCTGCACCCTCCCCACCGTCATGCCTGCCCACCTCAACCCCTTCGCAAGGTTCCACATGCCAGACAACGTCCTCGTAGGGAACATGAGAAGCAATATCCCCCTGTACAGCTACCCCCCTAAACCCGACAGCCTCCCCCTCTCCCCCTCATCCTCCCGTGGCTCCTCCTCCCCTGACTCCCAAACCTCCACCCCCCCCACCATGTACCACCTCCCCCCTGGCATCCGTATAAAGCAGGAAAGGATGGATTCCGAGTCAGACTCCTGCGAGGGACAGAGATAGGTGAAACATCCCCCCCCCTGGGAAATATTTTTCACATACCGAGTATGATAAGAAAAGTGCTAATTTATATCATCTTGTGAATAGCTTCTTGTAATTAATGTTGATTGCTATATGTCTGTAAGATGGGATAAGACAATAATAATAATAATGGAAACATTTCGTGTAAAAGTATGACACAAAGCTAGTGAAAGCTGTCACTGACACAGGGTAAAAGCCTCACATGGAAGAACTGAAAACACATGTTGAATTCTATCATGGACTTTAGTGAAAACATGACTACTAGTCCTCACCTTTGCTGGCAGGGGTGGCAATACACACAGCATTCTTCCTTCAACCATATCTTACTTACAAGAATGTTTTGTTCCAAGACAAGTTGTTTTCTCTTAAACATCTGCCAAAACATACCTCAAGAATTGTAATATTTTAAGTCAAAGCAACTGCAGGGATGATTTTCTTCAATATGTTCTCACCAAGATTAGAAGGAACCACAGCATTCTGTTGGGTGTATCCAGATTTTTTGTGGTAGTCCTTCCCAAATGTGTATCACACAATTGTTGACTTTGTTAGGAAAACGCTGCCTCTACCCATGGAATGCAGTAATACAGTTAGAGCACCTTAACTTCACTGTATGGATGACAACTTCAGGAGATCTTGAATACTGAAATATCAGGTTTTTTTAAAGATTGAAGAGATAAAAAATGCAACAAGAATCAGGCAGGGAACACATTGTTAAAGAGCCAACCAGTAAGATACTTTTGTACTTGGAAAAAAGAAAGTTCGTTGATTATACTAGGCTTTCCATCCATAGTTATCTCCACACTGATAGAACTAACAGATTTTCCTATAGCCGGTATAACCACAATTGTTTTATCACTGATCAAAGATTTTCTTGCTCTTCATGAAAGTTATAGGAGATGTCATCCATGTAGTCAAAGTTTGCGTAGCTTTGAGTAACACCGACAGGTTCAGTCCATAATAGAGATAAACACATACCTCATGTTAACCATACCTCAGAAAGAAGTTCTGCTTCTCATAGTGACATATAAACCAGTAGCTATCCGCTACACAAGGAAACAGTAGCTAACCTCATGTCAGTATTCCATACCTCATTTGTATACACTTGGAAAATTGCCTTTCCCCACAGAATGTGGTTTTTCAAGCCATGTTAACTTTGTATCACTCCATTTGGTGAAGTTTTCCATGGAAGCCAACGGAAGGTGTACATAGTACTGTCCTCAAGGTGTTTAATATAAAACCACTCGCAATGTCTGTACAGACTAGTTTGTACCGTTCTGTGATAATTGTATCTAGTTTTGACACTTTTGTACAATTTTCTTTTGTCTTGAGATTTGGGTATATATCAATGGAAATTCCTAAAGTGTTGTGCAAAAAAGACTCCACTTATTATTATACTTAGTTTCAAATGATAATTTACAGGAATCAACCTAGAGAAAAATGTTGCTATTAATTTATGTTTGTTGGATATTTTAAGCCTGTACTCAGCAGAATATTATTATTATTATTAAGGTTTTGTTGTTGTTGTCGTTGTGAGGAGTTGTGAAGAATCCTAGACTCGATGAGTGAGAAGTTTTTGATAAGTGTGTAGTCTAGCCATGAACTGTACACATGGATACCTCATCAGGGTTTTTCTCATTATGTATATGTATATAGAAGTATATATACAGTTGGCTAAATTATTTGCTTTTTCTTCTGTGTAAACAACCAAAACAAACAATAAATGAGAGTGCCAACTAATGAATGGACGGCTCCACATTTTGTTGTTGTTTACGATCAGTGTGGAAGGTGATGAGCAAATGATGTCAAAGTATACCGTCAAGATTGAAACTTGGATATACACAAGGAAATTCAGATACTAGACATAAAGAATGCAAGGGATGGTGTGTTTTAACTGTGAGAGGGTTTACAATAGTTATTGACAGATATAAAACATGGTAAAATGGATAACAATAGAAAGTTTACAATAAGTTAAATACGACGTCCATTATCTATTCTGCAGGATCCACAGTAATCCAAATTCCCTTTAATCTATATCTGTCTTTGAGATCAGTAAAAAAAGGGTAAAGCATTCATCCTCAACTGAACTGAAGCATAATGTAGCTTTTGAAGTAGCTTATACTGCAAGGCGGCTTGATCACCACAGCACGCGCTTTACAGCCAAGGAGGGGAGAGGGTAACAACTTACAAAAACCCTGTTTGGAAAACCTTCATTCTGTAACAGGAGACTGACCTTGGAGCACAGATGTCTCTGCCCCTAGTCGTAACTTAAACCAGACTTACTCGCAACCTTGAATACCTGCCCACGTCTTGGCACCCAGCATCTAGTGACCCTAAAGCTTTCTTCTGAGGACTGATTTCTTCTAAGATATCCCCATCCTGGCAGAGGTTCTAACTAGGGCAAACATTCTCACCTGTTAATCCTCATAAGCTGGGGAAAACATGTGCCCTAAATATAACAATGTCAGTCAGTACTATAGGCCTGGGTTTAGACCATGAAATTTTCTATTCTGAAGTCTACCAAAAGCCTGTTCATGATTATCTCTACCACCAGATTGACACTAGAAAATAAATCTATCTATACCTTACTTTACCTTATTGGTTGGTCTTCTTGGTGGTAAGAGTAGCAATACTGAATAACTTTCCTTTTTCAATAAATTTCAATGAAAAATTCATTTATGCCTCAAAGCTGGGACCTAAAATAAAAAGCTGTAGGCTCTGTGTTTGAGTACAACCACACCTTAAACGTTAAAGATTCCACTGCACTGATTGCAAAGAATAGGGGTCAATCCGGTGTGAGTGGTTCAATTCTTACAGTGCAGTCTTACTTTAGCTTGTAACTACCATACAAAACTGGTGTGTTATGCCTATGGGCAGTTTACCGGTTATGTGAACAAACAAACAATTGAGAAAAAGGAAGGGCTGCTTGACCTTTCCTCATAAGATTTAATTTGCCATTTAAATGTTAGGTGATTTGTAAAGTACACACTGCTCTAATCTGAAGTGTAATCTTTGGGTAGTTTCTAGCTATCTATCTGATGTATAAGTATAAGCCTCATTTAATCTGCTTTGCATTTACTGACTTTAAGGATACAGGTATATTAAACACATATGGATAAAATGTTTTGTTAGCACCTCGGTTGCATCTGATTCAATATTCAAAGCATCTTGGCATACCATCTCTTTCAAACATTTTCCCATAACACCCCTCCAAAGTTTTGGGTAGGATGACCCTGATATTACATCAGGCAGCCGTCTGCACAGATGTCCATATTTTCCATACCAAAAGCATGGAACGATTTAGCAGAATGTCGCAATATAACACCGCAGCCGTATTCTCCAATATCCTTGGATGTGAGTCAGAGGTCTGAGCCAAATTTTGGGGTGGATCCAAGCAGCACTATATAAAGGTTATGTGAACCAAACAGGTGGCCCTTATTTTGGGCATCCCTCCACAAAAGTGTCAAAATCCTGACACCATTCCAAGGTCACGACTCAGTACTGTTTAAC